CGCATGCCTGCACAGGGCCTGCAGAACACCCCCTCGGTCGACGTGGAGGAGGCTTACAAGCCTACACAAGGCCGATAAATGTCCTCCATCTCGACATACCACTCCTGATGTGCACACTACCGCAGGCAAACCCTCCATCCAGACGGGCTGAGGGCATAAAAAAAACCCTACAGGGGCCAAAAAAAACCCAGGCCCTTGTTTGCTTTTGCGTTTCGGTCGTCCTCAGGATTTGGCTGCACCTTCTTTTCGCATTTTGCCTTGCGCCTTAGCCCAAAAACATGCAAGACAAATGCAACGCTAAATTCAGACACGGCTGCAAACACAAAAAACGCAAACAGCCAATGCAAAAAAATGCACACACGCACACAAAAAAAAAACAAGCGGCAATTGAAAATAAAAAACTAACTCAGTGTGCGGCCCTAAGATTCTCATAATGCTAACTGATGCGTCAGAAACTGTTCATGGAGTGTGACAGTCATGGGCCATGAACATGCGATGGCCCAAAGGTGCCTTCGCACCCCAGACCTTAAGCAAACAAGTCCGACACACCCCCGACTCCATGCAAATCAGACTGAGTGGCTCATCGGCACAGGTACAGCAGAACATAGTGAGGCCTCGGAGAACGAGCAAATGGCTGTTCCCCTGTCAGTCACAGCATTTGTGCTCCGAAGCCAAGTAAAATGTAGCTGTTGGTGTTGAAGCCCCAGCTCGGAGAAGCCTCGCCGTTCCTTTTTTCTTGACCCCAGCGGCTCAGCTGTCCCGTATGATTGCACGCACGCACACGCACGCACACACACACACACAGACACACACGAAGTCTGGCTGACGATCACGATCGCAGCAACATGATGCGTCTCCTCCTATTTCGTGCGGAGGGTTATGCTTCGAGGCCCCAGCGCCAGCCAGCAGGAAAGCGATTCTCCAGAGTTCGCTGCCCCAGACCAGAATAACCAGAGGAGACTTGCTTCACTTGTGCTGATTGCGCAAGACTAGGATGACGTGATTGCCGCGCATGTTGCGGCTTATACCAGCTTTTGAACTTGAACAAGTGCAGCACGGCTGTACAGCTCTGGAGCCAGCATCAAACGGTCACGGTTTCAAGAGTCTTGGCGTGTGCAAGGATTCATGACTCTAGAATCACATGTTATGCAGATGTGCGGTGTTCCATGCTGACGGGTCTGCTGCTGTGGCTGCTTGTGCATTTCGGTTACTCCAGCTTTCTCCTGTGTCTGCAGGAACTCTGTCACGGCAGCAACGAAGTGACGCTGCCATCGGGCCTGTCAGAGACGATATCTCTGCACTCGGAAGGTTGAGCTCGAGACCCTATCGGCGACTTTGAAAGACAACCATATGAACTGGTGCGAAACATGATGCAGGACGCCTACACTTTCTCAGATCTTGGGAGCCGACGTCTGCAAACTCCGGCCCGCACTCTTGCGCATCGCACAGAACCAGGCTGCTCGCTTCTCGCACCTGGGGGATCATAAACGCAAAGTCGTCGTCGGAACTCGCGCTAGTCATGCAATGAGAAATCTTGCTTCTCGGAATCGGGGCCTGAAAACATCAGGCCCGCGCATTCGTGCAAGCCCTGAGCCCTCCGCGTATAGGAAGGGGCACATCTTGTGCAAAGTACCCCAGTGGTGCTCCCGCCGAGCGCGGACCACGCAGTCCCACACGTGCTTCAATGCCTTCCTGGGGATTGGACGTAAGTGGTTGAGGGCAGGGCAATGTCCGAAGCTGTCATGTGTGGGGGTCCCGGGGAAGCATGTGGCTTCCAGTGTCGGAGTCTCAAGATGCACTGGGAGCTTGTAGATAGACATCGCATCTCCACCACCGATTAGGAGTCGCCTCGAAAACATGCTAATCCAAATTGGCCCCCCAGCAGTTTTAAGCAACCCAAGCAAGACCCATTCACCTTTAGCCTTTGCACGATGCCCAGCAGCCTGGCTACCAGCTGCCCACCGAGCAGTCGATGAACCTGCCAGGTGGCATGCCAAACTGAATCAGCTGCTGCGAAAGCCATGTTAAATCCAACTCAGTTGGCCTCCAAGCGTAAACGAAATCAATAGAAATCATATCATGCAAGTCCTAACCGGCACTTATCCGCGACGGCCGTGGAGACGATGATCCATCACGATGATCCATCCACGCCTCCGGCACCGCATTCAGTGCCACACACACCGCGCGGCCCAGGACGAAGGGCCCCATCTCAAAGGGCCCGTCGCAAACACGGACGGCCTGAAGCAGGAACAAGAGAAAATGTGGCCTCCTTTCAACAGATCCCACGAACAGCTTTAGACCGAGTTTACGGGAGGCTTCCCTGACTCCCTGACCTGGCCTGCAGAGGACATGCCCCGGCCTCCTCGTCCTGCCAGATCTTCGACACAAGGCCATCAGCCCATCACATTCTACAAAAGTGGATCCTTCGCCTATCAGCCTCACAGCAATCTAGGGCTCAGGATAAGCCACGAAAGGAAGTTCATCTGTTCATTTGGCGGCGCAACCCATTTCCAAAATCCACATCCTGAACGCCGGAGCCTATCAGCACAGCGCAGCCTCCATATCCAAACTCTCATGTGCTGCTCCCGTCTTGCGGGCGCCGTCTCCGTGACCGTTTGGCATGGCAGTTTGCTTCTCGATGGCCTGTCCAACTCCCTCCAACTTCCGTGTCCCTCCGGCTTTTGCTCATTGCAGCAAGCGACCACTACCGGCATGCACGTGGAATCTTCACTTTCTGCAACAACCGCTGCCAATCTGGAGCAGACCAGTGCGTCATCTCTCGCTCTGTAGTAACATAGGAAATCTGGAATTCCAGGTCTAAAGCCCAACATCCACACATTGGAAAGTCCAAAGCCTTGTTCCAGATGCTGGCTATGTCCCGGAAGTCGTCCATCAGCTGCTTCACCTGCACGGGCACAATTCTTTTCAAGCACGGTGCAAGGGTTTCGAAGGGTGGTGAGGTGACGGGTCTTGGTTTTCCTGATTTCGATTTGCATAGGTTCGAGTTTGTTTCGCCAGGTGCCGAACAGAGCCTCACCGATGCCCAACAAGTCCCAACAAGCGAGAACTTCGCAATACACCTAGATTCGTAGCAGAAGGAGCAACTGGTCAGCTCGAAAAGTTACAAGCTGCGAGAAGGACACGAATCCAAACGAACATAGCCAACCATCATCAACCATCACTGACTGAAAAGTCCGCACATGCAGGCTCACCTTCTGGTGAAACTCCTGAGCCAAAGTGAAGAGGACCGGCAACCTATCAGGCAAGAGGATTATTCTAACGCCAGTGGGCCGGTAGGTGACAGCGAAAACGTCACAGCAGAAGTGCACCAAGGGAGGCTTTCAACTTCCAGTGTGTCCGGGCAGGAAGCGAGAAGAAGGCATACCGCAGGCGTCATCCTTTGCCCTGAACAGTGCTTCCGATAAAGTTGAAGTTGCCCCAGCTACAAGCCTGAGTATAACCACCGGCACTTGATGTGAGGAGTAGCCGTGAACGATCTGCTCCTGACCTTTCCAAGAAGAGCTGAGGTCAGAAAGAAATCAACATTGCGTGAAGGATCTGAGATGCGGCTGAGCTCTGGCAAGCAGCACGAGACGATTGGTTAGATAGAAGCGTTTGGATTTTGGGCCCAGTTCGCGATTGTAGAAATTGCACCTACTTACGCATTTGGCTTAATCTTACTCCTTAGCAACTCAATGCCGTGCCTTTCTTGCTGTCTCCAGTGGTGAGCGTCACCTCAGGAACGCTGATCACCTGAAGTGACAAGCTCGACGCACGGGATGGTTCTTGATGGGTGGGACGGCGGGACAGCATGGGACAGCCTTGACAGCCTACGAGAACACCCTGGGGTCCATCTAGCCTGGACTCGGGATCTTGCGGATGCTGGCGAGGGACTCCAGAGGTGATGTCGGACTCTTTCCATACTCCCAGTGACTCGTCGATGGCTTCGCCAAGGGTTGCAGATGCCTCACCAGCTCGGGACAGGAGCATCTGCAGCCGAGTAAAGCTCTGCTGCTCTTCAGAGTTCATCTCGTCCAGGACATATCGGATCCAGCCTCTCCGACTCCACTTGGGAGTCGAGTCTTGCATGTAGCAGAGGGCCGCGAGATCAGCGAAGCCGATGAGCTCAGCTTTGCGCACCTTCAAGAATGGCCGGATGACAGTCACGCCTTGGGTCGTACTGCTTGGCAACATCCCATCAATATGGATGATGTTGCCCTTTCCCAGCTCAGCCAGCCGATTCTCGTCTGCATCATCCTCATGGTGTGCTACCAGTGTCGCTCCCCTCTCAAAAGGGACGCCAAGGTGTTCAAAACAGCGCGAATACATTCGAAAACGAATCTGTTTCGACTTCTCCTCGTAGCGTTCACGAGAGATTCCAGTTCGCAGGGTTCCGTGGGGCCGTCGGATCTTTAGCCTGTAGGTGAGCAACTCGACTCCCAACTTAGAGCATGACCACCGCACCCAGCCCTCTTCATCTCGGGCATCATCGCGGTTTGGATGGCAGAGATGCAGTGCACAAAATTTGAAACACTGCTCTGGAGGTAAGCGACGACGCAAAAGCCAGAGCAAGCAGCAGGTCACCATGCTGTCCACACCGCCAGACAAGCTCAGAACGATTCCACTCTCTGCATGGAGGAAGCCAAGAACCTGCAGACTTCTGCTGAGCTCCTCCACCAGATGGTGCTGCTCGAAACGAGCAGTATCGCAGAGTAGTGGATCCAAGAAGCGCAAGCCTGCAGCATGCGCTTGACACCTGGCCGTGTCTCGGGACATTTGCTACATCCTCTACGAGTAGACTTCCGAACATGCAAGGGACTGGGTGCAATGGTCATTTGCCCAGCGCTCCAAAGGATATGATATTACACTTCCCTTTCCGGAGGGACCAAAACATAAAAAAAGGATAAGAGTAGATCTCAACATACTACACACACAAAGAACACATCCCTAAGCCTTTCAGGAAAACTGGGACCCCAAAGCGTCCCTTCCTGTACATAAAGCATGGCAGACAAATAAGCGACAAGCACCCTCCGAATCACAGACACTTCGAAGCCGTCGGACTCCGTCTCCAGCCTCTGGTCCAGTACCTCGAGTCTGGGCGTCTGCTCCGGCTGGCCGATCAGCAGCGGCTGGTCGGTTTGTAGGGCCCGTTGCAAGTAGGCTTCCACGCCCACGGCCTCCAACCAGATTGCAGTCTCTCTGGGACTCCGGTGCTGCGATGCGGCAACCAGCCTCCAGCGCATCTCGGGTCTCTTCTAGGAATCGCGAACCTGGAGAGCAGCAGCTGAGAACAAGCGCAACAAACCGACCATTTCGACCACGATCACTGTAGAGTTATGCAGAAGAAGCAGCATGGAGAGCCATGGCAGCACGACGAAATAGGCATCTCGTTGCTTTTGAGGCGCAAAGTCCCAGATGCCCCTGGAGCCCCTCGGATGGTAAGCCATGGTCGGATCGCTGAAGCTCCTCTACGATGGAGACTAACCTGGCAAGCAAACTCGAGCAAACGCTACGCAGATCTTGTGAGGGTTTACGGAATTTGGGCGAGCTACAAACTTCAGGATGATAGGCTTCTAGCCACAATTCAGCTCTTGTTTCTGCTGCATCATCTGTTTGAACAGCCCAGAAGCTTCTGCAAGGCCTTTCAACAACCAATACAGGGTCGATGGGCATCGCTTAGGTCTGTCATTCCAGGGGCCTCCGCATGAGAGGAACCAAGGCCGTCCGGACATCAAAGAAGCAGGTAAGTGACAGGCGGTCACAAAACATCCTGAACTCGCCAGGCAAAAAACCTCCATTACTGCACGCCTACCTGAAACTCATGAAAGCACCTGAATGCCGAGCCACATCCCCTCCGCGAGCTGGATGAAGCAGGGCTCCCGGGTGTGGCGCAGCACCAGTGACAAAAAGCACAGCTCGGGCACTGAACCCAACCTATGGAGCCACGCTTCAACGGGCCGTTGCGGGTGGCAGTGCAAACCCGCACATCTCTCTTGCGTTCAGAAAACCTCTACTTGCCGTAGGTTGCACAAGAGCCATCAAACTGAAAAAGATAAGCTGAGAGAAGTTGCAAACAGAGACATCACACTCACGTACCGCAAACCCACGCCCTGAAAGAGCGAGCCTCCGTCCTGCCAAGTCGAAAACCCGAAAAGCTCCCACATTGATTGCAAATCATGCATGGCTAGACTTAGGCAGGTCGCTGCAGGAAGAAAGCTCCGTTCGCTGTGCCGCCGCCTGCCGCCACCACTGACAAAGCCATTTGCAGGGCCACAGCGTCACCTCGCTACGAAGGTGCTTGAATGCAGTCTTCGGCCTAGCCTTGCTTTTTTTATGGCTGCAGCCTTTTGCCGCTTCATAGTTTGGGGCATTGATATCGAAGTCTGAGGGCATCCTGGCCTTCCGGGGCTTCCAGTTTCAGCTTCCGGCCCTGGGAAATCGAGTCAGCGGAGCGGCATAGCTTAGAATCCGGCATATGATCTCAATCTTCTAAGCTCTTGCAAGCTCGCCGCACTGCTCCTTGACTCGGGCGGCTTTCAGCAAGGCATCATCACCTGGCAGATCCCGAAGACATGCCGCACATTTGCCACACGTTCAAGGCTTGGCAGAGTTCCATGTGGGATAATGCCAGATGCTATGGTGTCACTGCACACTGACTCATCTCGACCACAACCGCCTCAAGCCTGAAGCATGGCAATCCAGGAAGGCCCCTTTGAGTGCTTCGTAATTACTCACGGCCAAGAGTTAAACTTGCGAGTCTGATTAGGTGGCAGGTGCAGACCGATGACAATCCTTCAGAGACATCTCATGACACGTCGCCTCGCTGTGTGGACTGATAGTTGCGCGAGGTTTGGTCCAGGAAAATGGCAGCCTTCAGTCTCATCCTGCAGGTAGACGGCTCAAATTTATGCCTCTTCATAATGAAACCAGTTGAACGGTTCGTGGGACAGCAGCCTGGCAGATGCAGAAGGCTCCCATCGAGGCCACCACATGCGCCGGAACTGGCCAGCAGCAGCCAGCCGCCGTGCTGGTTCGAGGCAGCTCGCATTCAACTTGTCAAAGAGCGGTCGATAGGATGCCTTCCTTGCTCCGAACCAGTAGCCTCTGCGCAAGGTCGCTGTCTACAAGGCAAGCGGAGACGCTGTGTCAGATTTTTGGCGAAAAGCCGGCGCCTGGGATGGACTGGCCCTGCTCAGCCTCCGAAGGAAACCAAGCCTCGCAAAACACCGACAATCCGGTGACCCAGTCCGGCTCAGCATGCTCCATACCATTCGGCCAAGGCCAAGTATGAGGGGCTCCAGTCTTCTCTCTCAACCTGAACTGCACTCGAAGTGACTTGACTCCAGTTCTCTCCTCAATGGCCCTCAGCGACGTCAAAACATCTTGAGAGACAAATGCCACCAGTGTTCCAAGGGCATGAAGCGATGACTCCCCTATGCTCGCCTAATGTCGGAGGAGATCTTCAGGACTGAAACATAACCCACGACAGACTAGACTGGATTGCACTGCGCTGTCCTAGGGGAACCTAGATGTCAGGCTGCTTTCTGAAGAACGCTATCATACTTTCAACCTCGCATGTCGCCCGATTTGCACCTATCAACCTGGGTCTTGACATTCCAATTCGCGCATTTTTGTTTGTCCTGCGCTTCTTCTCTGGATTGGGGGGCTCGGCGCTGTCATGAAAAAGCTGCTCTTTCAACCTGAGCGGCACTGCTTTGCATCTGGTGCTTTAAAATGCTTTAAACATTAGACGGTCAAACCTCGCGTCGCAGGACTGGCAGAATACCCCTGAGCTGGTGCCCGGAGCAAAATTCAAAAGCCCTCCATGCGGCTTCAAAGCAAAGTTCTCGGAAGCCGAACCCTGGACTTCGTCTCGGAATTAGAAACCTCAGTACCGGGCAGGTCGATCAGCAGCGGCCCACAGTCTTTCGCAGCTCCTCCCAGGAAAGGGCATCAGGATCAGGGCCAAGGTTTAGCGTGTGTGGGCTGTTTCGGCAGTAGTCTCCACCTCGATCTCTCGCAGCCCCCTTGTTCCGCACGTGCCTTGTAAGAGTGCCGCATCGGGAGAAGGCAGCTGCTCGAGGAGCCTGGACAGGCTTTCTGCCAGATAGAGTGAGAGAGGAAAGAGAGACAGAGAGAGAGAGAGTGAGTGAGTGAGTGAGCGAGGGAGCGAGCCAAAGAGGGAGTGAGTGAGTGAGCGAGTGCGTGGGTGAATGAGTGAGTGAGTGAGTGTGAGTGTGAGTGCGTGAGTGATGATAGTCAGTGAGTGAGTGCGTGAGTGAGAGAGAGAGAGAGAGAGAGAGAGAGAGATGGTGAAAGGTATATGCACACGTGCGCATCAATCCGTGCACGTGTGCTTACTGTGTGTATGCGCGTACATGTCCGTGTACATGGTGCATGCATGTACACGTACGGACCTGCATGCACATGCATGCATGGGATGGACGGATGGTGTACCGCCGGCCAGCCCACCCCCCCGCTCGCCGAACCGACTGCCCGCCCTTGACATTAACAATGCTTGCGTACACGTGGTAGGTGAGATGTACAGTAGAAGCAGATACACGTGTGAGCCAGGCCTCTGCAACCTCAGGTCCGGTGGTTGGAGCGCTAACCTCAACAACAAAAGAGCTATGAAGAAACACTTTGCGCAAACTTGCAAACATTGGTCAAGAGTTCCGCTGTCGATCAACTACTGGCTCGGTGCAAGCCGGGCCGGTGTCGCCGAAGGGAGCGGTGAAGAAGCCGTCTGGCTTCGTTGCTTTGGCTACACGCATCAGGGCTTTCTGAAGCTATGGGCCAGGCAAGATTGCGTTCGCCAGTAAATGAAGGCGCACGGTAAAATCCGCGCCTCGAAAGCACATTGCAGTCTAGGACACAGACGTACCTCCATTAGTAGCTGACTGAAAAAAATCTGCATAGCTTTGCCAGTGCACTACATTGCCAAACCAACGCTCTCTGCTCAAAAGTCTGCGGCCAAGATGCCGTGCGGCAGAGACAAGAAGGTGCAAACCAATCTCCGAAGGCCTGGATTCTTGAACAAGTGTTGATTGGCCTTGTGCGTCCATGTCTGATCCAACAAACGGAAATCAAGTACAACTGCATTGTGAAAGATAGCAGTTACATCCAAGAAGCAATCATACCTATCATACCTGCAGCTCTTGGGAACTGGCTTTCTTTGGCCTCACTGGAGAGGGCCAAGTCCTGCCGCTTTTCGAATTCATTCTCACTGCGCTGACAACAGCCACCTGCAAACCAAGACAAGCTCAAAGACTTTTTAGATTTTTTGCAGGACAAACTACTGGAGAGCGTGAGACGATCACTCGAAGTTCGACGATGTGCTACCACGTTGCGCCTTGGGCCCCTGACTTCTATGGAATGCTGGGGGACTTTGGAAACTTAACGTACATTCTCTGAAGAACCCTAAATGGCCCTAACCCACTCTGCTGTCAAACGCAGGCCTTGTTGGACATGGCCATGAGAACTTGAAAAGCGGACATGATGGCCTCTCCAATCAAAGCAATCACGCTCCAGCAGGGTTTTACAACGGTGAACAAGGAGCGAGGGCCGAGTCCAGAGCTCACTCCCTTGCGCCTGGGTCTCTGTCTGTATAATTCCGCCTTTCATAATGTCGCAAAGTTCCCTAGCAAATTCAGACCCTACCGCCCTTACCTCCTCTTGTATGCGACAGGTCAGTCGTCCATGTTCGCCTTGTACCTCGGCCGCCGTGGGTGATTGGCGAGTGTTCGGCTGTCCACTGCAGAAGAGCCTGCTGCATCGCATATCTTTGCAGGGGCATGCCGGGCCAAAACTTTGCCTTTTTTCTCCACTGGATGGAGCGCGTGCGCTAGCTCTCTGCAAGAGGCTGGCTGCGAAAAGATGATAAAACTCTGTGAGATCAATCTGTTTGTAGTGCAACATGTGGAGAAAGTCATCTTCACAACCTTACAGCTCATCCTCGCAGTGGGTCTTGATGGTGACGTCGGACGTGGCGTACGTCACACCTGCACTCTTCTAAGCCCCTTTTGACATCATAATGGCCCTTGCTATTCTCTTCTTCAGCACGGAAGCTGCGAGGTCAGCTCCCCTCGTGAGATATCGCGCGCGCACCCTCTATGTATGTGTGTGTATGACAATGATATATATATATATATACATACATGCATACATACATACATACATACATACATACATACATGCATGCATATGTACATACGTACATACATACATACATACATACATACATACATACATACATACATACATACACACATATGGATCTATGTATGGATCTATTGGATGGATAGATAGATAGATAGATAGGCTATAACTCCAAACAGCTTCAACAACCTCATAGTCTTAGTCCTAGGCACAGGTCAAGCAGAAGCCCTCGCCCATCTGGTCATCGTCCAAGAAGGCCTGATCGCTCTGGTCAATCTCGCCCTCCAGGACCTTGCCAGCACAGCTGGAGCAAGAGCCTGCGCGGCAGGAGTAGGGCAGCTCCAAACCCTCCTCCTCAGCCTGGTCCAGGATGTATACATCCTCAGGGCATTCCTTGGCTGCTCTTTCGCCAGCCGGCTCAAAGCCTTTTCAGCACCCCGAACTCCATCAAGTCCCAAACGCGCCAATTTGCTGACAAGGTGCAAAGGATTGCGTGCCGTCCGGCGTCTCCAAGGTCACCTTGAAGTGGGCGGGCACAC